CTATCTATCTATCTATCTATCTATCTCTCTCTCTCTATCTATCTATCTATCTATCTATCTATCTATCTATCTATCTTCTATCTATCTATCTATCTATCTATCTATCTATCTATCTCTCTCTCTCTGTCTCTCTGTCTCTCTGTCTGTCTGTTTGTTAACCACCTGTTTATTTCTGATAAACCTGTACAGGTTCCATGAGCGATACCCCACGAAACCCCATTGAAAGAATCCGTCGGAAAGCTGGGAGGACACGTTTTCCACGAGCAGTGCATTCGCCGATGGTGGTGCAGAGCTTCGACCTGGATATTAGCAGAGCCTACTGTACGGGCTTTAGGGTTCAGGGTTTTGGTTTAGGGTTTAGGGTTTAGGGTTTAGGGTTTAGGGTTTAGGGTTCAGGGTTTTGGTTTAGGGTTTAGGGTTTAGGGTTCAGGGTTTTGGGTTCCTTATTCAGATTTTAGTATAATCTACCCTCAAACCCGAGTCTAATTATTACGGCCCCTTTGTTTCCTTCCCGATGGAAGCACCACGGTCTCCGACACGGTTTAGGGTTTAGGGTTGAGGGTTTTAGGGTTTGGGGTTTAGGCTGGAGTTAGTGTTACGTAAGGTTTGTACTGTTTGCGACAACCAATCAGTCAGTCAGTCAGTCCGCTGTTTACCCCAAGTCCGTAACTGGCAGAAGCTTCGGGCCATGGCAGCTGCAACGAGTACTCTTCATCGATCGTTTTGACATGCGACAAAGTTAAAATCTTGAAGCCTTGGATTGAAGCCTTGGCTTCCGAGACATGTCGAGGTCTGGATTCGCAAGTCTCTATCTCTTGCCCTCTATGCCGACAGGAGTTTGCCGCTCGGATCTGACATGTCAGCTTCAGTTCTTTTTCTAGGTTTGTCTTCAGAATCGTTTTCGGGTCCTTTTCTGACGGTCTCTTGCGACCCACGTTTCCAGGACCCGGAAATGGTCAACGACGTGTCGCAGTTGCATTATCCGGCGGTCCGAGACGACGACCAGGTGCCGCGACGAGGGCTTCGGCTAAACGCCCAGATCAAGTGTAATGTGGGGGCCTAAATAATTACCTACACTTTTTTTTTGGGGGGGGATCCTTATGATAAGTACAGTATAATGAGTCCCCAAACCCTATTCTAATTATTAAGGCTCTGTTGCTAGCTGCATGGGGGATTCTGTGTAGAGGTCTTCATTTTTGGCTTTCATCGGGTTCCATCATTTTGAAGCCTCTGGGATGGCAGTATAGGCCATGTCGGATGAAGCAAAAAGGATCAGGAACTTGGCAAGCAAGATTCTTCTTGGGGGTACAGTGCTAACTACTTCTAAAACACTTGTAAGTTACTTCTAAATCCCTAAACCCGTTTTAGGGCTTGGGGTCAGTTCTAATCCTAGTTACGGTGGCATACTGACAGCTACCCATGAGGCTCCGGGCAGCTTCTGTTTCGGGTCTGAGTCCAAGGCGTTGTCCGCCATCTCCGCGTCGGTGACGCGCCCCGAACTTGAGATGCTTTAGAGCCACATTCTTGGCCTTAAAGTCATTCTCACATCGTCGTGGCTAGCTGTTTTGCTGCTACCAGAATCACATCAACAGGAAGTGAGATAAACAGAGTGCAAGCATGGCGCCAAGTAAGCATTCATGTCCAAGCCCTTCTCCTAAACCCTAAACCCTAAACCCTAAACCCTACAGTATAGAACGGCGTGAAACCCGTAAACTCCCCCCGAAACGGGAGCTTCCATGGAGACTCCGAGCTCTTTCTGCACCGAAGGCTCTGGGAAGCCACAGCCCGAAAGCCCAAAAAAAGGCCTTAATGTAGGGGCCTTCATAATAGAATAGGGTTTTGGGGGTTCCGTATTGTAGCATAGTTTCATGTACCCCAAAGCCCCCGAAGGGATCCTTGGGATCCTTAGGGTTTAGGATATAGGGGATCCTTAAATGCCAGGAAGATGTCTGGGAGGCCAGTAAGGACGAGGCGGGGAGCTCGGCGCTGTGTCATAGTAGACGTTGTCACAGAAGGTTGTAGCAGCACCCCCTAAACCCTAAACCCCTAAAGCCCTAAACCCTAAACCCTAAACCCTAGTACTTCCAGTCGTTGTGGTCGTCGTCGTCCTCGTCGTCGTGGTTGTCGACGCCGTCGTCGTCGGAGCAGCAGCAGTAGCGAGGGTAACGCTACTGGTGATGGTAATGGTAGTTCTGGTAGGAGAAGCAGCAGTCGTTGTCGTTGCAGTCGCTGCTCGGTGCCTAGGACCCATGGTTCAGCTCTTACAGAAACAGCATTCCAGGAGAAACAGAATAATGAAACAGGTTTAGTGGCACTCACCAGCAGCTGCTATTTGCTTTATCATCCTCTTTTGGAATCGATCATTGCCAGCCTATGGGGATCCTCGTGTATGACTTCGTGGCCGAAGATATCTTTTTCGTCCCTGCGAGGCTAACCACGATGCTCTGGACAGTGGGCTGAAGGAGGCACCCATCCTCCCTATTTCGGGAGGAGATTGGGGGGGTGTGGGACTGTGCCAGGTGCATTTGTCAATGTATGCCCCTGATGAATACGCCCGCTTGCATTCAGGGCCTGAGCATAGCGATTCCTAGTACAATCCAGAAAAGGGAATTTAGTCATCAGGGGTCAACATCAGCAACGACTCACAACTGAACAAAACACCATAAAATCCCAGACGGTGCGCGCTGACCCCTTCACTGCCCAGAAGCCTTGCAGCTCCAAGATGGTCCGTGCACTCCACCCTAAGAAAAGTAGGGTGATCTTGCACCGAGGATCGTCTTTACGTTCTTATCTGAAGCTACCTTTTGTTGATGTGGCCTGTGGTTAAAGGCTGAGATTGAGTGTAGGGCTTTGGGTCTTAAGTAGCGTTGCGGTTTCAGATTCTTGGGCCCCCCGCCGGAGGCAGTTGCTGATTGCTGTTGCCATCCTTCCTGCCAAGAGCGAATAAGTCTTTAAAGGCCGGGACGCTGGAATGTGACGTGGGGGTGGTGAGTGGTGAGCTTCGGCTTCGCTTTGGAGCTTTCCCCTTTGTGTTTTTGTGGGCTTGAGCTCGGTCTCATACTTTCTTACCGAGAAAGGGAAGAGCAACTGGAAGGATAGAAGGAGAGGAGGAGAAGAGCGAAGGGAAGCGACAGAAAGGCTTACAGTGCAGAGACGGGTCTCACGAATCCTGTCTGGGCCTTAGCATACTCTCAGACATGTTCACCAAACCGTCATGACCCTTGGCTCCTAGGTTTCGTAAAGCAAGTACATTCTTCTCTTCACCCATAGCCCGTCTGCTTCGATCTAATGGCAGAAGAAAGAGAAATCTCGAAGCCTTCACTCCCAACACCAAGCCAACCAACGAATCGGGAGCCCCACGCTTTCATGGGCTCACCCAGAGGTGGCGCGCGCTGCCCTAGAGCTGCAACGGGCTTTCTTGGCCCCGACGAAGAAGGGACGTGAGGTTTTCGGATGTATGGCTCAATAGCTGTTGTTTATGAAAGCTGAATGCCTTCCCGGGTCGGTGTCGATGCCTGGATATCCCTCTATCTGTCTATTCTACCTATCTAGATAGGCAGGTAGACAGATACACCTGTAAGCCCAGCAGCTACCCTCGGATGCCTTCTAAAGCCGCATGTGTCGAGAGTTTTCAGACTTCTTCTTCGGGGGCGTGGCTCGCAACAGCTCCTCGACGCGACGCACAGGGCCAGTGACGCCGGCCGGGGTGCGAATGGTGGGAGGTGGCCCGGTTCGACTCCATCTTTGAGTTCGTTTTAAGAAAGATAGGGTTTGTAGGGTTTCGGGTTTGTGGGTTTAGGTTTTGTGGGTCTAGGGTTTAGGGCTTGTGGGTTTAGGGTTTTGGGCTTGGGGTCGATTCGGCCACAGTTTGGCCACAAGAAGAGGCCCGCAGGTTCGGATTCTGCCAGTTCCCTAAACGCTAAACCCTAAACCCTAAACCCTAAACCCAGCTTTCTTGGGATCGTGCCCAATCAGGCCATTGAGGCCCACAGAGTTCGGGTTCGTGAAGTAGGGTTTAGGGGTTTAGGGGTTTAGGGGTTTAGGGGTTTAGGGGTTTAGGGTTTAGGGTTTAGGGTTTAGGGTTATCGTGTTTGTTGGCTTAGGGTCTATGGTCATCGTGAAGTAGGGTTTCGGGGTTTAGGGTTTAGGGTCTAATCATCGTGAAATAGGGTCATTAGCAAGAACTGCCACCTCCCCGCAGCAGGGATTTCTCTGTCGACAGTGCCTCAACCAAGCACTCTCCTGGGTTCTTGTTCAGGGCTTTAATAGGGGTTTGTAGTAAATAATATGGGATCTTCATTGTGGTAACGGTTTTTTGTTTATAGCAAATAATACGATTTTCTTTAGTCTGGTAGCCTTAGATTAGATGTTCCCTGAAAGAAGGGCTCTGCTCCCGGCTTTGGCTTAGTAGTAGTAGTAGTAGTAGTAGTCGTAGTAGTAGAAGTAACAATAAAGTACTACTCGTCGGCAGCAGGAAACTCCTGGAGTCTCAGAGTCTCAGAGTCTCAGTCCGCTTTTCTGCCTCCGAAGCTCCGGAACGGACCTGGCACCGGAGCTCCGGAAGGAATCCACCAGTGCAAAAGGGCAGAAGGTGACTTTGGGGGCGCTGGCTTCAGTACGCCACGCCTTGAGGTTTGGAGCTTCTGCACTTTGAGCCGTTCGCGGCCGAATTCGCCATGTCGTCGTTGGTCGGGCGTCGGGAGGGGAAGCTTTTCGGCTTCGTCAGCGAGTTACGCTTGAGGCTTTCAGAAAGGCAGCGCCCTGGAAGTGTGGGTTTCAAGGTATTTAAGTAAGCCAACGTCATATGAGGGGCTCCGCATAGGGACGATCTCGTTTAAAACAGCTCGCTGCATGTCGCGAGCATCACTGGGACCCCAAACCCCACACCCTCAATCCCAAGCCCTTGCAACCCTAGGGTTCTGTTCACAGCTGAAGGGGGTGCAAGCCGCAAGCACAAGCTTCCATCTTCACGACCTCCTGCTACTACGCCGTCCTTGCCTGGGCAGCCTCGCCCTGTGAAAAAGGTACCCCGAGGTTCGGATTAGGTTTGCGCTTCCCGGGTTCCATAGGGGCTCGGGTTTAGGGTATATGGTGTAGGGTTGCCAGGGTTCTGTACTGGTCGCAGAAGGTGTTAGTACAGAGTCTCCGTAGTCTTCTATAAGGGAATCAGGAAACCTCACGGATAGTATTGGTGTACTAGGCCCTTGTAGCATCCCCTTTTATAGCAAGCCATCTAGATCCCCTTAAAAAGGGGCCCCAAACCCTAAACCCTGAACCCTAAACCCTAAGCCTAGGCGTCTTGGTTTGCCAGGTGCACGGTGCACGGGCAGTTAGTTGTTGCGGCAGTGGTCAGTCCTTAGGACCACACCGCTACTTTGGCAAGTAGTTTCATCCATGGCTGGGGAGCAGTCAAGTCAGATGCAGCAGTACCAGCAGCAGGTGGAGGCAGCGTCGTCACAGGTTACGCAACGGATGTTTTTCGA